AACCGCCGCAACCGCCGCAGCCGCCGCCACCGCCGCCACCGCCGCCGAGCTGGGCCGGAGTTGCCGGTTGTGGGGTTGAAAGTGATGGCCGTGACTCAAGGCCTAGAGGCGGCGTCTCCCGGTGTTCCTGCAGTCGCTGCACGAGCCTCGGTCCGCACGTCGTCATGAGAGGTCAGGCCTAGGGGAAGCGGGCGGAGGCGGCGAGGGCCCGCGGCGAGTGGGCTCTGGGGAGAATAACTGAGGCACTCGAAGCTTGAACGTGGGTGGAAAACTGTCCTGGCGATTCTGGAAGAGTCGTTTGCGTTTACTTTTCTTCCCTTTCTTGCTCGTGCACGGAGGAAAGTGGGAGGGTTCTGCGTTTTTATTTAATGGAAAAAGGCGCTGAAACTGCCCCGTCCAACGTCCGTCTTTAGAGATTCGAGGAAATCAGTAGCGGTTGTGGCGTTGGAGCACCGGTGAAAGCCTTTAGTAAAAGGCACTAAAAACCAAACTGCCAAACAGTATAACTAAAAAAAGAAAAACTCAAACCTAGGAATGAAGTAGAATGACACAGAACATGCCCTGAAGTTGACCCCAGCTTCCTCGTACAGACGCGGCAGCAAGTCTCTGGGATTTGTCAGCTGGTTTCGGACTCAGGCATCGTCGGTGGCTACTCAGGCTCGTCATTTAGGGCTCCTCCTCTGCCCCTGTTCTCTTTCCCCACACCGCCTCCCCTCATCCTTATTCATACTGAAGAGTCATCTAATAATTACATGGCGACTCCCCAAGTCTCCTTATTTTACAGGTATTTAGGCAGCATTCTCTTGAGGGGAGGGAAGGTAATAGTCCTGGTATTAATTACTGGAAACCTTTTTATTAGCTTTGGGAAAGCTGTTTCCCAACTTGTAGGTCACCTAAGTGAAATGTTTTATTTAGTTCTCCATGATGGTACTTAATAAGGGGTTAAGATTTAATGTTTTTTTATCTTCCTAGCCTTTCCAACCATTAAAAATTACAGACTCACTCTTAGGAAGTGTAGAATCTGCATCAGAGATGAAACTGCTCCAGCTAAGCACAGAAATCTACTAAAGTATTCAAGTAAGAATGAGTACATCTGGTAGGCACTGGTACTTTGACCGTTTTGCTACCGTTTTGCTGATTTCTTATGTCATTACAGAACTGGAGGCATCTAAATCTGAACTTGTTTTTGTAGCAGATGTTCCTTAAAAGATAGTCTGTGTAGGGCAGCAGAGCCTTCGTATAAAGGGTGAAGAGGGAGGAATCTAATAACAGGTGATAGATAAGCTCAAAATAATGTATCTTCTGTGACTGTCAGCCTCTCCTTTAGTGAATAAAGGATTCTTAGCGAGCAGTATATTGCCTGCATTTAACTGTTCTTTTAGAATATTTTCTGCTCTTTGATTTTTAGGAGACAGAGCCCTAAAGCAAAGAAATCTGGATCACGGAAAAAGTATCCAAGGGTCATGCAAGCCAACTGTAGCCAACTTCACAGCCCTTCAGGAGCTGCAGGCAGTGAGGATGCCTCAGCCTCCCAGTGTGTTCAAACAAGATTGACAGGAGAAGCTTCCTGTCTTTATTGTGGAGATGTTCATATCCAGATGAACTCCATGCTGAAAGAATGTGCTGAAAATACAAGCTCCGGAAATGCAAGGTCAGGTGTCCATAGCTGTACCCATGGATGTGCACATAGTCGCTTCCGGAGTCACTCCCACAGTGAAGCAAGGCAGCCTGATGATACAAACACGGAGTCTGGAGATCATGGTAGTAGCTCCTCCTCAGAATTCCGATATCTCTTCAAATGGTTGCAAAAAAGTATTCCATATATTTTGATTCTGGGTGTCAAACTTTTTATGCAGCATCTAACAGGTAGAGTATAATAAAACATTGAATTGTTTCATTGCTAAATTCAGCTAATTTTCTTTCTTTATTGGTAATCTACTTTAACCTGTGTATTTCAGTTACTTATTTTCTGTTAGCATTTAAAACTGTATTTGCTTCCTTTAAATTCATGTCATTATGTTACCTCTTTTTTTTTTTCTTTCAATTAACTGGACCTTATTTTCTAACAGGAATTTCTCTTGGAATTGGGCTGCTTACAACTTTTATATATGCAAACAAAAGCATTGTAAATCAGGTTTTTCTAAGAGTAAGTATAACCAGCAACTAAAAAATCATTAAATGTTTCTCCCTGTAGAATTATATACTCTTTTTTGAGAGAAGTAGGAATATAGATAGTTTATTTGACAAATTTAAATAGCTAGAACATCCATAATATATTTTTATTTAAGTGACCTGGAATAAATGATCTGTCCTAATGCTAAATTGTTTCATCTTACTTTCTTTGGATGTTGGATTCCTGATAGAGAAAGAAAAAGCAGAAGGATTAGAAGGTTTAGAATGCACTATTTGATTGATTTATCAAGTGCCTTCACGTTTTGAATTAATTTAACCACACTAAGTAATGGAATCATCATTAAAAACTTCAGCTGTTGCATTATAAGCTTTAAAATAGTTAAATAAAATGTACATTGAATAGGTGGGTATTGAACTATTTATTTAGATCTCTCATTTAAAGAAAACTAAACCCCAAAAGTTTTTCCATAACAAATGATAAGAGTCCTATTCATATAAATTATTGGGAAAATAGGATTAATTTATAAAATTTCACCTTTAGGAAATTTTAAAGGGCTATATCTGTGTAAAGGATCATACATTTTGACCTGAAAGTTTGTTGTTTGAACCTGTCAAACAATGAAAGGTTAATTCAGGGTTTAAAACTAGTAAAACTTTTAATTAAATTAGTAATTAAAATTTAATTGTAAAAGTGAGATTAAAAACAGATTATTAAATTCTTACTGAATTGCCTGAGATTTTAAAATATTATATTATAAACCATGATAACAAATGCATTTTTAAAAATTCTGTTTTGTTGGGGAGGCAAAAATAGGAGCTGCAGAGGTAGAATTTTCATTTCGGTGGGTACTTTATGTCAGTTTGTAGAAGATTTGGCTTCTTTGAAACATAGCTAATGTTATACAATGAAGAAATTGTATTTTAAAAATTTGTTTAAAATATAGTTTTGTTCACTAAAGATACATAAAAATAGAATGTGATGATTGTACAATTTAAGATAGTCTGTATTTTTATTAAGTTAATCTAGTGAAATGTTCTAAATTAAAGTTATTAAAGTAAAATAATGATATTTAAAATTCTGACAATTCAAAGTAACAAATTATAAAATTGTTTATTTTTCAGGAAAGGTGCTCAAAGATTCATTGTGCTTGGTTACTGGTATTCTTAGCAGGATCTTCTGTTCTTTTATATTACACCTTTCATTCTCAATCACTTTATTACAGGTAATTAGAGGTCCAAGTACACAATCACATTTTTAATGTAATCCTATTCCATAGCACTTTGCATATATCTTACTTGCCCATATTTATTGTTAGAGTTCAAGTTTTACCTGTTTCCTTCCAAGATTGAAAGTTTGAAGTGACTTACTTCCATTTGTACGTGCAGTGCCTTACCTCATAGCAAGTGCTCAATAAATATTTAATTTTTGATATTTAAAGTTTTACTTATATAATCAATGTTTATTAAATACAATTAGGTTGTTGGTTGGTGGTTTTTATTTTTATATAAATAAAAATTGTATATATTGAAGATGTACAACATTTTTGATATATGTATATATTGTGAAATGATTACCACAATCAAGCTGACTAACATATCCATCACCTCCCTTAGTTATCTTTTTTTTCTGTGTATATGTGTGATGAGAACACTCGATCTTTGTTTCTAAAAGAAAACTTGCTAAAGTACAGTAGTTGATAAGTTTCTGTATCAGATGTAAGTGTTCTGAATTTTTGGCCTTAATGAGATAACTAGAAATCCTGGTTTCAGTGGAGATGGAGAGATACGGACAGATCCGCAATATAGTGTGTAGATGTAGCCAGTATCATCCGGATTGGATCGGGTGGGTAGGTAGAGGGGAAGAATAAAGGGTAATACCTGGGTTTTTAGTCTGAGAAACTGGATGGTGGTGCCATTTACTGGACTGGGAAAGATGGGGG